TGTAATGAAAGAGCTGCAGAACCAGCCGTCCGTCCTTCCTTCCTTCCCCTGCATGGGGGGAGAGTTTTGTTGTGTTTGCTGGCTGGGGAATTCTGGGAGTTGAAGTCCACCTGTCTTAAAGTTGCCAAGGTTGAGGAACCGTGTCCTAGGATATACATATGCCCAGAACACAATCTCTCATAAACCAGTTGGGCACAATTTTTCTCCTGTTTCAATTTTTATATCACCTACATTCCTGGATCACAGAGCAAGCTATCAAATGCCCTATCACATTCATCTGAATATGACCTTCCCTACTCACTTGCCTCTATCACAATACTGCAGCCCTGAACGTTTGCCTCTCCCTAGAGATTATACCCTCCTGAAAGGTTGTAGGGTAGGGAGATAAACTGTAGAGCTACTATATCAGATTAGAGTGCAACAGCAACAGGATGCATGTGCCAGGGCTTGGATAGATGGCATCCAAAGAGTCCCACAGACGGATTCTTTGTTTTTCACTTCAGAGGATGGGGAGCATTCCACAATGGCTGTTTATATGTTCTCTTACTTTAAGAGAAAAAGTATGGCAACTGTGCCATGACGCTAGAACTGGTAGACATGGGGGTACAGTGTGTTTAAAACTCTGCACGGGTGCCTAGAATGTTCTGATAGCCAAGGGTCAGAGCAGATGTCAAGGACTATGTTTCATGTTGTCGTGTTTGTTGCCAGGCCAAGACTGTACCTGGGAAGCTGGCTGTCTTGCTGCCACTTCTGCATTCTACTTCACGATCTTGGGAATATGTGACTATGATTTTTATTCTTGATGTCCCCCTGTACAGAGTTATATAAGCATTCTCATGATTGTGGATTTATTTACGAAATAAATTTCATTCTGATTTCATTCCTTGTAAAGGTTTTCCATCAGCTCAGGAAACAGCATGACTTTTTAAGGCTGCATTTTAGATACAGAGGCTTGTCAATTATGAGATCTTGCAGTTTTCTTGGCAATGATTTTGGAAGTGGTTTGGCCAGCCTCCTAGGGCTGAGAGACTGGCCCAAAGTCACCCAGTTGGCTTTGTGCCTAAGGTGGGACTAGAATTCACAGTCTTCCAGTTTTTAGCCTAGTGCCTTAACCACTACACCAAACTGGCTCTCTTGCCGTTATTAGACATTAAAATTCATTTGTCTTCAACTCATCTGATCTCTAATGGTCAGGCAGAGAGACTGAACCATGTGTTGGATCAATATTTAAGGTGCTATGTCTCTTATCAGCAAAACAGTTGGACTGAATTCTTGCTTACTATAACTCAGTACGTTCCTCCATCAGCATGTCAGGTGACCTATAGTTTCCACCCTCCACATTCTACCCTCCAGAACTCCTGCATCTGCTATTCCTCACACCTTGGACTTCCTACAGAAGAGATAGGCTATTCAGCACTTCTAAAAGAACAGCTGGATCTGGCAAAAATCTGCATACAAGTGGGCTGCAGATGCACACAGGCAAGAGAGGGCCAAGATTGTATGGAGAATTTGTTGTAGCTTTCAACTAAATTTGTTGTGCCTGAGGAACACCCCTGCCTCTTATTATCTAAAACAATTCTGGTGGATGAGGAAGAAGAGTATGAAGTAAAATGTATTCTGGACTCTAGATATAGGAGGAAGCAGCTTGAATATCTGATTCACTGGAAGGCTACCCTTAATCAGAGAGATCATGGGAAACACACATCTATGCTGCATACCTTTTATACCAATTTCACCTAAATTCCCAGTAAAGCCCCTTCCCCATGATCTGCCACCACTACAGAGAGATAGTGAGTCCCAGGCTGAAGAGGAGTCTGCTTTCCATCATAATGGACTCTGCAAAACAAATCAATATGCAGCAGGACAGGAGGGGTGACTTCCCAGTGCTATCCACCTCTGTGCTGTAGGACGTGTCTAGTGTTCTTGGAGAGCTGCCAAGTGAGGATTGGGGAACCAAGTCTGAAGTTCATCCCTATGACATATTTCCAGTGTTTTGTTTGCACATGGGAAGGGATACTGAACCTAATGAGGGAGGGGCTGTAGAGAACCACAGAGATGATCTTGGAGAAGGAATGTGACAGTTAGCAAAACATGATTTAACCCCAGGACAGGAAGAAAAGATTAGAAAGGAATTTAAGCTGACTCCCCTTAACTATCTTTTGTATAAGGGGGAGAGAGTCAAAACACTGTCAGTCTTTCACAATTCTGCCTACATCAATAAAGTAGAGTTCCACTCATTCCTGTAGAGTCTGTTTCCTGACCTGGCCTACCTCAAAGGGCTGAAACTACCTGAAGAACACAAGATTTGTGAAGGCTGTTTGGAGATTTGGGAAAATTCCCAAATGAAAGAACTTGAAAGTAGAGTACAGTGGTACCTCGGGTCACGAACGCTTCTGTTCATGACCAATTCGGGTCACGAACAGCACCGTTCGCAAAATTTTGCTTCTGTTTGCGAACTCCGCATCAGGTGACGAACAGGATCCGCGGCCATTTTCCCTGCCGTGACACGTGTTCGTGGCTTCCTGTAGGGAGGGGGACTCTCCCTCCAAACGATAACTGCCTCCCCACCTGCCTTCCTGTCCTCCACGTCTCAAGCAAGGTTAGCGTTCTCTCTCTTCTTAGTGTACTGTACTGTACTTTGTGTCATATTTTTGTGGTTTAAAAAAAAATACATATGATTCAGAACGGATTAACCATATTTACATTGAACCTTATGGGAAAATTTGATTCGGGTCGCGACCAGAGTCGCGGAACGAATTAAGTTCGTGACCCGAGGTACCACTGTACTCTACTTTCATGATTCGGGTCGCGACCAGAGTCGCGGAACGAATTAAGTTCGTGACCCGAGGTACCACTGTACTCTACTTTCATGATTCGGGTCGCGACCAGAGTCGCGGAACGAATTAAGTTCGTGACCCGAGGTACCACTGTACTTGGTTGGAATGCAGAGTCAGACTTGTGGAATTATGTTGAGCTGAAGTTCTATGTCCTAGAATTTATTGGGAAGGACCTTCTTACTGTTAAAGAAATGCTCATTGGGATGGAAAGGGTGGGGGAGTAGGGTTAAAAAAAGAGAAAAATCAAATGAACTAAATACAGTAAGTATGGTTATTTTACATGTATTTTTTTTCCTTTCTATTAAATTAAACATTAAATCTGGTGGGAACTTTCAGATGACTATAGTCAAGCATTGGGTGGAGGGTGCTGAGGTACCAAATTATGACATTCCTATAGACTAGATTTTGATGTTTCTGCTGTTACAAATTTTACTTACTATTCTGTAGGCATGAAGGATGGCATGAAGAGCAAATTTGGTTCTATATCTTTGGTCTTCATTAAGCACTTTTATTGCTCTAGCCACAGCGTCAACAACTTCTGGGTCATCATGATCTACTTCGTGTTGGAGAGGACTGGCTTGGCAAAATCCAATGCTGAGGACTAGCAGAATGAAGAATTCCATATCCAGGGGAAAATGTTCCTTCTGAAATCTGGTGAGTGTGAGAAGGGGAGAAAGAGCTTTAAAATACCCTGTGGGGCGTGCCTTGCTAGCAGAATCTGAACAGCCTGGTAAACAGATAGTGGGTAGAAATATTTCATGAACTTGAGTCATACAATGCAAACAACATTATGGGTTTATTCAAGTACCTGCTTTTTTTTTTTTTTAAATACCACCTACACAGTTATGATACCAAGTTTATTCACCGGCAGTTCACAATTCATGTTGACAATTTACAATGTCAGGGTCACAACATGTTTACGACTGTGAATGGTTCTGGCAATTTCAAGAACATTTTCCAGGTTGATAATAAGCAAATTTCAAACGGAGAAGGAGTGGAATTTAAGAATCTTTTCCAAGGTTTGCAGCTCTTCCCTCTCTGTTGTCAATCTTGATGAGATAAGCATGTGCATGACTGGAGTAAAAAATGTGATGGAAATGCTAGGTCATTAGAACAACAAGGCTGCTTGGGATCCTGCACAATATTTATCTTTCTCAGTTTGAGAAAAGCATATTTCAAGGCCACGCACTTTTGTAGGATAAGTATTTTAAAACCCCACTAGCAGAGCAAATGTGTCCAGTGGATCCAGGGAGATAGAAATGGTTCACAATGTGCTATTATGTTGTAACTGCTGTAGAGATATTTGGAATACAGGCAGTCCCCAGATTAAGAACATCCGACTTACGGACAACTGATACTTATGAATGGGCTGCTGTTACTAAAAATGGCGGGTGGCGTTCTTCCTGGAGCCGAAAAACCACTGAAGCTGCATAATGTTTTCATGAACTGCTGAAGCCGCATGTTTTTAATATACAGCCTGTTTTCGGTGGTTTTCAGCGATTCATGAAAACATCACGCAGCTTCAACAGTTCGTTGGCTCCAGGCCATCCACCATTTTTAGTAATAGGCAGCCCATTCATAAGTACGAGTTCCAACTTACATACAAATTCAAGTTAGAGACAGACTTAGGAACGGAACTCATTCTTAACCTGGGGATTGCCTGTAGTTATACCATACCCCTGCTCTGTCAGTACTCACAAAGAACAGATTATTATTGTATGAGGCTCCTTCTCTTAGAAATAAAACCATTTATCACCCATATGGTAGGTAATTTTTATGTGGTCGCAGTGAAAACAAGGCAACAGCTGATGTAAGTCTGAACACTGTTGCTTTTCCTTCTTAATTATATTTTTATGAAATTTGCCAAGTTTTGATCAGACTAACATTGATTGATTGTGGCACACCTATGATGTTGCTGTCATTTTGTCCTCAGCCCAGGAATAAGACAGCCTTAAGTTATCCTTAGCTGTACTTTTTTGATTGATTATGTGCCATCAAGTCATTGATGACTCTTAGATTTTCTCCATGATGATCTGTCCCTAACTTAGTCCTTCAGGTTTTCCAATGGTGCACTCATCACCTCTGTAGCTGAGTCCGCCCACCCTGTTGCTGGTCATCCTCTTCTCTTTCCTTCTACCTTTCCCAGCATTAGACCTTTATCCAGAGAGCTAAGTCTTCCCATAAGGTATCCAAAGTAGGATAATTGAGCCTGGACATTTGTGCCACCAGTGAGAGTACTTCCTCCTGAAGGGCATTGTTTTGATACACAATTTTATACTCTCTCATAATGTGTGGGGATGCATGTGACAGTGCACTCTATCTTACTTATAAAGGATGAACTTGCTTTGTAAAGAGCACAGCGTTTCTTTCCCCCCACCTTATCTCTTTGTTGAATGCCTGATTGCCTTCCAAGAGAGCACACCATTCCCCCACCCCATTTCCTTTAGAAGCAATTAGCCAGAAGTCTGCATGAACAATTAAGCTATAA